TCTCGTGCTGGCCTGTCATGCCGTTGCGTGTCACGGTGTCGCGACATCTCTCCCCCTGACGTGATAGCTTGGCGAGCTGAAGCGATGGTGGGCGAAGCGCGAGGCGTCGTGATGACGCGAGCTGAGGCGGTGGCCATGACGCGAGGTGTCATTACTGCACGTTGCCACGGTGAGTGCGGCGAGTTAACGCGATGGCGGCCTCCACGGCTGTCAAATAAGTGGCCGAGGGAAGGCGAATGCGGATGTGAACGCGAATGAGACTTTGAGTGCGATTGTTGGTGGGAAAGCGACGTGCGCATACGATGTAGGACAACGACGACGAAGACAATGATGAAAATCCAATGCTGAATTTAAATGGGACCGATTACTTCAATACTCAACACAGGTGCGAAGACGCACACCAATTGTATTGCGAAGGTGAACTGGAAGTATATTACGAATATACGTTCAGTTCCAAGACAGGACACAAAACATGCACTCACACACGTACATGCATCTGTCATTCGGAAAAACGACAGCGAATACAAATACACATACTGAAACAAGCACGAAAGCGTTCACGAAAGCAAAGGAATCGAGGCCTGATGGGAAACCCGCTGTGATTTGTGCCCGTGACATACGTCCATGCCGACAAACACACAGAGCACACAAGACATGAATGCGGCAACGGTCCTTCAAGCGAAGTGCGAGACATGATGTAAAACACACGCGCAATGCACGATACCCTTCCTGCACCTGCCCCTTCTACCGACCTCCTCCTCCTCCTCCGCTTCCTTGTCGTCCTTCTCCTCCTGCAGTCTTATCCTACCCCCCTTCGCCGCCTCATCCTGATCCTCGCCCTCCTCTTCCTGATCCTTCTCCTCCCCCTCCTCCTCCTCCTCCTCCTCTTCCTCCTCCTCCCACCCCGACGTCCTCACCAGACAGGTACGACTGGCATCGGTACCATGGCACCGCGCAGGCATCTTATGGCCGTCATTGGCAGTGGTGGCAGAAGTGCTCTGCCTCGCCAGCGGAGCACTGAGCAGAGATTTGCGCTGCATCGCGCGCGTGGACAGCCACGGTGCTCATACAATCAAACGTCAACTAAAGAATCCAAGGTTGCGCCAGATACTTTGAGCAGCATTGGGCCAACATCCCTGGAACCCCGCTGACGACATGGCCCAAGCATGGACCGACACTCCTCTATTATCCCTGAATAAAGTTTGACTGTATTGCGCTCTGGTGAACCGAGAACACTGCGGCGCCTCAGCCGCCGACCCTGGACTGACAGGCGCAGCAGGGCGCGGACACGATGTTGTTCCCGATGCTGACCAGCCACCGTGGCAGCCACTCCGCTGTGGGCCTCAGAGCCGGGGGTGGCACAAGGGGAGCCGCCGTCCTCGTGTTACCGTGGTAGAGGGAAGAGAACTATGCACATACACCGATTCTGGCCAGGTCCATCCTGAGCCCAGGATCGGTGCATACGCCTTTCTACCTTGGCCAGGAAGGTGTACGCACCGATCCTGGGTCAAGGGGGGGCCTTGCCAGGATCGGTGCATGTGCATAGTTCTCTTCCCAGACATGCGACGTCCCGATTTTTCAGGACGGCGTCCTGGAAGTCCAGACCCTTTCCCCGGGGCCATATTTTCATCCTGAATCGTTTAGACGGTCCCAGGGCCCCGGCGAGGGCCCCCAGGTGCCGAAAAAATAGCGAAACACTCCCCGTCCTGGATTTTTTTAACGACGCGATCATGTCTGGGTTGGCCCGGCATCAGGAACTCTAGGAGCACTGAGCAGGGAGCAGACTGCGCCGCTCTCGCCACGGCGAGCCTCGGCCACGGCTCGGTGCTGCGACCCCCAGCCCGAGGAGCCGCCCGACGGCAGCAGAGCCTCTCCCGAGCTCCTGCAAGCGCAGTGGCTGCACGACGGACTGCAGCGTGCTGCTCTCTGTGGCAGCTCGTGGGGGCCTCCTATACCTCAATGGGCCCTGGAAGCGACAAGGCCGTTTTTTTAACCGGTTCCGTTTTGCCGTTGTGTTGCCGGTTCCGACGCCGTTTTTTAACTGGTTCCGTCGCCGTTTTGACTGGTTCCGGCCCCGGTTCCAATTCTGGAGCCGTTTTTTTGCCGTTTCCGGTCGCCGTTTTTTTGCCGTTTCCACTTTCGAGGGGCACTTTTTCGAAAACGGTGAAAAAACGGCCCTGCCGTTTCCGGGGCCTACTAAGCCCTGTGCCACCCAATCCGGCCACTGGGCGGGCCAATCCGGCCCCAATTGCGCCACTGGGCCAATCCGGCCACTGGGCGGGCCAATCCGGCCCCAAACTGCGCCACGGGGCCACCCTGAGGGCAATCCGGCCACTGGGCGGGCCAATCCGGCCCCAACCGGCCCCAACTGCGCCAGTTGCCAGCCAAGCCCCATTCGGGCGTGGACCTAGCATTGTCGGCACGTGCGAATCGTCGCACATCGACGCTAGCCGACGCTAGATCGACCCTAAATCGATGCTGATCGACGCTGAGCCGGCGC